CTGTGAACCTGTATTAAATGTATTGGCAATAACTCTGAAAGCAGATAAACCCTAAAGCACATTCATTAGCTTCCTACATAGTTTTTGCTCTGATTTTGCACCTCTTTCCTGCCATAATTTTCTATGTTTCACTTCTTTTTCTGCTGTTCCCTACCATCCTTCTGGATATTCTGAGTAAGTGGGATTTAACAGACTTTGAGATAGTATGAAAAAGTCAGGAAGCAACGGGGACTTCAGTTAGGGCCTGTCTCTTCTGGATGAGGTGGCCACTGTCTTGGCACCAGAAAGCTAGCTCCAATTCCTTGATTAGTGGAACCAATTGCAACTTTATGCAGAATGCTCTGGGAGAGATGAGAAGCAACTGCAAGGGAGGCAGGTCTTCAGGTGGAACTGCAGTGCTCTTTGCAAAATCCTTCTTGAACTACGCTGATTCTTTGAACGAGTGTCTTCCTTTAATAGAATCAGTCTAGACTACTAATAAAGAGGAAGAAGAAATGAGAGGGGGAAAAAGCAAAGGACAGGGCAAGAAAGAGGGCTCTTACAACCGCCTGAAGCATAAAAATAATGACTGTTAAGGTGGGTCTGGAACACTGCTTAGTCTTGCTTCTGTTCAAACATTTGCATGAATCTCCCTGAACACTATATAACATGAAAAATACCTTGTTTACCACCCTGAGAGGAGGTCCTTAAATATATACATATGAACTCCAGTGATTGTGTGTTTACTAGTTATGGGAAGCAGCAGTGTTACAGGAAGGAGTCCAACTCAGATTGTTCACTGCTTTTTCACTTATCAATAACTTCCACCAAGGGGTCTTGGGGTCCCCTCAGATATTATATCAAACAAGTGTCATCCTTATTTCACTTGACATAGTATGATGGGCAGCACAAGGAAGAAGCTGCAAGAGCCGGGCACAGTTCCAATAAAGAGGGGCCGACAGGCAGAGCGGTGCTCTGCAGCGCTTGTCAGAGAACTGGAGCAGGCTCCTTTGTGAGCTGGTACATCCCCTCCCGGAGTGCACAGCGGAGACATTTGATGGGCTGAGTGATTGATAAGTGCAGGAGAGGGGCAGTCATCCTTCTCTCCCTCCCTCCTCTCTTCTCTTCTCTCTCCTTCCCTCCCTCCTTCCTGCCAGAAGCGCTGCTGTGTGGCGAGCTGCTCTAGCAAGCTCGAGCTGCCTGCCCTGGGGTGGGGGTGGGGGGCACCGCCTGAGCTCCTCGCTGCTGTGCCACTGCACAGCCAGCAGGACTGGTACCCAAAGCGGTGCTGGCCTGAGCCTCTCAGAGTCGCCTATGCTGCGGAAGCCTCCGGGGAAGATCGAGGCAGCACACTCTGCTCTCTCGGTAAGTTCAGAACACTCGGGAATGCCGTGGCAATGCGACCCATAAGCCGGATTCCTTTGGTCTCAAAGTGGGAAGGACCATGGGATGGGTAGGCTCTACCCACCGTGGTCAGTCCTTGTGGATCTCCCTCTCCCTCGGTACCTTCTTTTCATTGCCCCCTGACCTTCTGCGGGTGTGGTAGGGCTCCAGGAGTCTCATAACCAGGTAACCACCGCTGCTGTCAGGGATGGCCCATGCAAGAGGTTTTGCTCCTTTCATTCTTAGTGCTCAAGCCCCATGGCAAGGGCAGAGTGAGTGGCCTTCGCGGCTGGGAGGTCACCCCCTGGTATCAAGACTCTAGCCACTAAGGTGTAGGAAATGTAGGGCTACTCTAGGGGCTGGTGCTTAGTCCTGTTCCTTGCAAAGGATCTCTCCTGGGTCTCTCCGGAAAAGAGATTAGCAAGGGGCAGCCCGCGGGCTAGAGAAAAATGCTGCCTGGTCTGCTGGACTTCTAAGCTGGCTCTGGCCATAAGGATTGCATGGATGAAGGTGGCCTATATGTTTCAGCCTGGTCCTCTCCGTGACCTGTGGAAAAAGCTTGGGTGACCTGAGCCCAGCTCTAGCTGGTTAGTGACAAAGGGAGTGGGAGTGAGGCTGTGGAGTATGCATTTCAACTTCTCTCCCCTCAAGGAAGAGAGCAAGCATTTTGCGTTTTAAAGCATTTGCCCCTTCTGCTCTTGGTTTTCCCAATTAACCTGAACCTTTTCAGCTCCTTAAAAGGTCACTCTTTTCAGCGGTTCTTAGAGATACACTGGACCAAATGAAACTTACTAAAAACTGTTCATTGGGTTTGTGGCTCATTCACTTCTAGAAACAATCATGTTTCTGAAAGTGGCTATGGAAGCTCAGATACAGGGAGAAGATACAGTGGCAGAGTGAATTGACTCTTGCAGACAGGAAACCATGGATTGAAAATCCAGCATCTCAGGGTCCTTGGCGTGGCTCACCACAGCTAGATTACCATTAGATTTCTCTTACTGTGTAAGTGGTAAGAATTTCAAGATTCCCAAATTCCTCTTTTTCCTTCTCCTCTCCTTGCCTCCCCTCCTCTCCCTTTTCGTTTCCTCTCTTCTCCTCTCCTGTCCCCTCTACTCCCTTTCCCTCCCATCTTCTCTCTTCCCCCTCTCTCCTCTTCCCCTCCCTCTCTCCTCTCTCTTTCTCTTTCATTTCTAGAAAAACAATCTTGGTCTCCAAAGAGTCTGGAAAGCATTATCTATGTCTTAATTTTTTTTACTGTACTTGAAAACTAAAACTATTGGCATTAATTTTTGCAGTAAAAATGCCCCACTAAGTTTAGGTATGCAATTCTCTAATTCGTATTAAGCAGTATTGGGCTCTGAAGAACCCATTGTTACTCAGAGGCCCTCAGTTTTGTTTCTAATTTTAGTTTCTTGAACTTAACCAAGTCATTATGTCACCTGGTTGAAAAATGTCCTGATCTGTAAAATTATTCTGGTTTGTTAGATTTTGTACAGCTGTCACATTAGCTTTTACTTCAGTGAAATATAAACCAAACTAGCAAATGTTTCTTAAATGAAAGGCTGCGTGAATAAATCATATCTCCCTAGGAACACTGTCCTTTTAATATTTAGAAATACATAGAAAAGTTTCTCTTTCTTATGAAAGGAGCCTAATTTTGCTCACAAGAAATGACTCTGCTTGCATGTAATGATGCACCTGCATTAGAATGGGAGGCTATCTACTACTGCATTCTCCACTCCCAGGACTGCTAGTCTCATGGCTGCCCTACGGCTCAGGGAAGGACACTTAAGGCCCCAGAGTGCATAGATCTTGCTAAAAGCCGCCAAAGAGGAATGACAGCACGAAGGGAAATCTTGCCCATGGTCAAAGGCTTTTCTTGAAAGGAGAAAAAGGGAAGAGAAAAAGGCAGACAGATTGGGACAGATCACAGTGCCACAGGTGGCCTTATTGCTGACATTTATAAATTGCCCCAATCTTTCTGAGGGAGAAAAGAGGGTGTAGAAGCTACATGATCTTAAGACTTCTACTTAAATAGGGAGAGAAAGAGGGTAAATGGGAGAGAAATAGAGTAAAATGGTTTATTTTGCCTGTGGCATTGCCTATCTTTCATTTTGGCTAAGCAATGAGATTCTGAGTAAACTTTGCAGCAGATCTGAAGAGGCAGGGACAGAAAGGTGAATTGTTTTGTGGAATAGACACATTTAATCAGTCCCCTTTGTCACTTTTTCTTCCCCCGTTTTTTCGTGACTTCTCTCTTCTTTTCCATCAGAGGTTGCCTATAGCTCCTCCAAACAGGCATTATTCACACATGCAAATGGGTTCTCCACTTGAGATTCCTGGATCTTAGGGGTTATAATACATTAAGGAGTAAAGAGATAATGCAAGTAAAAATTCAACACCTAGCCATTTAGTAATGCTCTAGAAAGGTTATTTGATTGTAAATGTAATATCAAGACCCAGAAGACCAACGCTCTACCACCATTAGCAAATGGAAACAGTAAGATCCTAAAAGTACTGACAGGCATGGCCCTGGTATTCTGGTCTCAGCTCATGATTCCTTTTACACTTTTCTTCAGCAGGAGTCAGTTCTCTGGCCCTGCATTCTTCCCTCTTTTTAGGGGGTTGGTGGGTGGGATGGGGGTGGGGCTTCCTGTCTCTGCAGCCTAGAGGGCTCAACAACCCTTGCCTTGTCTCCCACTCCTAGCTGAGTCTCAGCCTGGCAATACTTTTCTGACACCCACTCCACTTTACTTTCCTCTAGGCAAAAAGCACATGTTTAAGCCTCATTATCTGGCTAAGTATAAACCTCAGAGGGGAGAAGCATTTTATTTTTGTTTGGTTCAGTCTACTAGTTAACGTTGAGTTGGCTTTCCAGAGTCCAAGCAAATAACTGTTTGCCTGGTTAGCACTAAGAATGTAATTCCCCAAGCACTGACACAGAGCTCTGTATGTAAAGTATTGATGCCCTAGGAGAACTCTTCTCACTCCCACACAGACACACTAGCACAGGAACACTTCCACTCTGCACCGAAAGCCTCTCAGCTAGCAGTCTGTCTAGCTGGCATCAGTCCAGTAGCAAGAAGTACCACACACATACAGACATATATGTTCTGGCCGAGTCTGCATCATGTCCTGGGAATCTGGCATGAGATCAGTTTTACCGAACAAGTCACTGTCCTTATGCAATGTGTAGTTGAAAGAAATCACTCAGGCTAGTTCGGATTAGGGGTGTTTCAGTGAGTCCAGCACTAAAAGGGAGCTGGGCCGCCTGCTTGTGAGAAACAAACTCCTGTTCAGAAGGAGCTTCTCTTGCCACCAGCCCGGCTGGAAATAGAGTAATTCTGAAACAACTGACGCAGCTGGGAATTGAGCTGTGCAAAACCACTCACAGGGAAGGGAAGCGTCTGCCCCCCCCCCCCCCCCCCCACCAAGTGCCCTGGATATTCTGCCCACACTCCTCTCCCCCGTGACGTCACCCCTAGTCCTGTCCTGGGAGCCTGCAAAACCTCTCAAATTCAAACTGCTAGACTCACTGCTGCTGCTGCCACCGGACTGAAAGCGCGCGCCCGCCCAGCCTCCGCTGTGGCAATCCCGATACAGTCTGCAAGACCTCCCTATGAAATCACACCCCCGGTTCCCTGCAGCGCAGCTCCCTTCTGCTCCAATCCTCCTCTTCCTCTCTGTCTGTCAGCGGGATTTTAAATTCCTGCGCACCCCCCTCCCTAATCAAATTAAATCAAGCAACACAAAACAGAGCATCCTCCTGCAAGCGGGATCTTCTTTTACTTTGCTCTCCCTCTCTTCCCGAAGATGCTAAACTACTGGTGAACTGAAGAGGAGGGGAACCCTATCTTCTGATGTGTGAGTACCCCCAACCCAGAGCTGTCTTTGCCGTCCTATTCTGTTCCCTTCGTCAGCCCCTGACTCATAATTTTCCCACCCACTCCCATTTTTTAATGCAGTTTTTAAAAAGTAAAGCAATTCCCACTGCAAGCCCAAGACGGGCGATCCGCCTGAGATTTCTTCAAAATACCCCAGGGAAAGAGGAGATGGGCCGGATTTAGTAGGACGACTGGATTACTAATGACTCCGCGGTTGGCTGTGACCCGCCGGGAAATCAGGTGCAAGCATGTGTGTTCCAGGACGTTTTGTGTGGGTGGGCTTGGGAAATGGGTAGGGAAAAAGAGAAGAAACTGCTTTGAAATACGCAATGATTTCTTTCTTCCTTGCTGCCTACCCCCTCACTCTACCCCTACCCCCACCCCCACCCCCGCCTCCTAGCTTTGCCATTTTAATCGGGCTTCCTTGTCTCTTTTTCCCCTGGATCCCGCTTTCTCCCTGTCCCTCACCCAAGGTTTGCCTGTAGGTACCTGAGCTAACATCGAAGGTGCCTAAAGATGCTGAGCGGCATTTGGTTCCTCAGTGTATTAACCGTGGCCGGGATCTTACAGACCGAGAGCCGCAAAACTGCCAAAGACATTTGCAAGATCCGCTGCCTGTGCGAAGAGAAGGAAAACGTACTGAACATTAACTGTGAAAACAAAGGATTTACAACTGTCAGCTTGCTCCAACCCCCTCAGTATCGAATCTATCAGTTGTTTCTCAATGGAAACCTCTTGACCAGACTGTATCCTAACGAATTTGTCAATTACTCTAATGCAGTGACTCTTCATCTAGGTAACAATGGGTTGCAGGAGATCCGACCTGGGGCATTTAGTGGTCTGAAGACTCTCAAGAGACTGCACCTCAATAACAACAAACTGGAGGTATTGAGAGAGGACACTTTTCTAGGCCTAGAGAGCCTGGAGTACCTCCAAGCTGACTACAATTACATCAGCACCATTGAGGCAGGGGCATTCAGCAAACTGAATAAACTCAAAGTACTCATCTTGAATGACAACCTTTTGCTGTCTCTGCCTAGTAATGTGTTTCGGTTTGTCCTGCTAACTCACTTAGACCTGAGGGGAAACAGGTTGAAGGTAATGCCTTTTGCTGGTGTCCTTGAACATATTGGAGGAATCATGGAAATTCAGCTGGAAGAAAATCCATGGAATTGCACCTGTGACCTACTTCCTCTCAAGGCATGGCTGGACACCATTAGTGTTTTTGTGGGGGAGATTGTCTGTGAAACTCCTTTCAGGTTACATGGGAAAGATGTGACCCAACTGACCAGACAAGATCTCTGTCCCAGAAAAAGTGCAAGCGGTGATTCTAGTCAGAGGGGCAGTCATTCAGACACCCAGGTCCAAAGGCTGTCCCCTACAATGAATCCTGCTCTCAGCCCAACCAGGGCCCCAAAAGCAAGCCGGCCACCCCAAATGAGAAATCGTCCAACTCCACGAGTGACTGTGTCAAAAGACCGGCAGAGTTTTGGTCCTATCATGGTGTACCAGACCAAGTCCCCTGTGGCCCTCACCTGTCCAAGCAGCTGTGTCTGTACATCTCAGAGCTCAGACAATGGTCTAAATGTTAACTGTCAAGAAAGGAAGTTCACTAACATCTCTGACCTGCAGCCCAAACCTACTAGTCCAAAGAAACTCTACCTAACCGGGAACTATCTCCAAACAGTATATAAGAATGACCTCTTAGAGTACAGTTCACTGGATTTGTTGCATTTAGGAAACAACAGAATTGCAGTCATTCAGGAAGGTGCCTTTACAAACCTGACCAGTTTACGCAGACTTTATCTAAATGGCAATTACCTTGAAGTGCTGTATCCTTCTATGTTTGATGGACTGCAGAGCTTGCAGTATCTCTATTTAGAGTATAATGTCATTAAGGAGATTAAGCCGCTGACCTTTGATGCTTTGATTAACCTTCAGCTCCTATTTCTGAATAACAATCTGCTTCGGTCCTTACCTGATAATATCTTTGGGGGCACAGCCCTCACCAGGCTGAATCTGAGAAACAATCATTTTTCACACCTGCCTGTAAAAGGGGTTCTGGACCAGCTCCCTGCTTTTATCCAGATAGATCTGCAAGAGAACCCATGGGACTGCACCTGTGACATCATGGGGCTAAAGGACTGGACCGAACATGCCAATTCTCCTGTCATCATCAATGAGGTGACTTGTGAATCTCCCGCTAAGCATGCAGGGGAGATACTGAAATTTCTGGGAAGGGAGGCTATTTGTCCAGATAATCCTAACTTGTCAGATGGGACTATTTTATCAATGAATCACAACACAGACACACCTAGATCACTTAGTGTGTCTCCTAGTTCTTACCCTGAACTACACACTGAAGTTCCACTCTCTGTCTTAATTTTAGGATTGCTTGTTGTTTTTATCTTGTCTGTCTGTTTTGGGGCGGGCTTGTTCGTCTTTGTTCTAAAACGTCGAAAGGGAGTGCCAACTGTTTCCAGGAATGCCAACAACTTAGATGTAAATTCCTTCCAGTTACAATATGGGTCTTACAACACCGAAACAAATGATAAAGCTGATGGTCATGTCTATAACTACATACCCCCACCTGTGGGTCAGATGTGCCAAAACCCCATCTACATGCAAAAGGAAGGAGACCCAGTAGCCTATTACAGAAACCTGCAGGACTTCAGCTATGGCAACCTGGAGGAGAAAAAAGAAGAGCCAGCCACACTTGCTTACACAATAAGTGCCACTGAGTTGCTAGAAAAGCAGGGCACACCAAGAGAGCCTGAGCTGCTGTATCAGAATATAGCTGAGCGAGTTAAGGAACTCCCCAGTGCAGGCCTAGTCCACTATAACTTTTGTACATTACCTAAAAGGCAGTTTGCCCCTTCATATGAATCTCGACGCCAAAACCAAGACAGAATCAATAAAACCGTTTTATATGGGACTCCCAGAAAATGCTTTGTGGGGCAGTCAAAGCCAGACCACCCTTTACTGCAAGCTAAGCCGCAATCAGAACCAGACTACCTCGAAGTTCTGGAAAAACAAACTGCAATCAGTCAGCTGTGAAGGGAAATCATTTACAACCCTATAGCATCAAAGGATGCGCTTCAAACTGTTGGAAGCACTGTGTTTGCTTTTGTTGTGTTCTTCCTTCCCCAGTGCTAATGGGAGACTGAAAGCAGTTTGGAAGAGGGGTGAAGCAATGATACTGCTCTTGCAAGCTTTCCTTTAAATTATTTTTCTCTTATCTCCCACCTCCACACCTCCCCCTTCTTAGGAACCATCAGTGAACATGAATGTTTCTACACTGCATTTTTTCATAGCTATTATTTAGGTTTTGTTTCTGTTTTCTTTCTTTTCCTTTTCCCAGTGTGGGAGTGGAAAGAAATAATAGCGATTGAAGGAATCGTACGTAAAGTTTTCAAATGAGAATATTTTGTAGAAGATCTCCAAAGATCTTTTGGAACTACAACTTCTTTTGTAAATAATGATCTATGGTATTGACATCTTCAGTTACCAAGAATAGGCCTGGGCTTAGCTACTTTGTGTTAAAGTGCCTTTGCACTTAAGTATATTACTTAAACGTTGCTTTTAGCTTTGAAAATGAAAAGTATTTTAATGTGTTGTATTTTTAAACTCGAAATCAATGTAAGATAGATCTATATGTCAGCTATATTATGTCAACATACAGTTTGCTTGAGTTCTAAAAACCAGCCTGTCATCAAACAATTCTAGCTTAGGACTTTATAGACTTAAATGTAAAATATTTCCTTTCTTCTGGGTTTGTTACAAGTGATTTTATTTAAGTCAAGAAAGGGGATTTAACAGAGGACTAAAGGTAATAAGCCACCTCTGTCAGGATTAGCAATTCATTAATAAAATATATTTAACCCAATATCAGAGTGAATTGAACAATTAATGCCCTCCCATAAATCATTATTTTACACTAACATGATCAGTGTTTTAGATTATTTTCCTAGTTAATAGTATATTACACAACTGGTAGTATATTTTTTCTGCATCAAATTAGATATTTTTATATATTTAAATGAAAATCTGTATTTCTAACTTTTTAATTGAAATTAATATTTTTTCTGCCCATTGCAACATTTTCTATATACACATACCAGTAGAGGCCGCCACACACCTCATTTAACCAAGACACAAGAGCCATTTAATACATTGAAGGAAGACTTCAAAGGTAAGATGAAAACTTCCCACGTAATTTCTCTGCAAATTCAAGACAGCAGAGATAAAATTGCATATGTTACATTTTCTTTCTTTGAAGATCAAAAATTAGACTCAAAATTCCTTTCAATTTTCACATTTTCTGACAAAGGTAGATTTTCCTCTTGACTTTAATTGAAGTGTTAATGAGGTGCTATCAAATCTTGTCCTATTTGCATCTCCAAATTCATTAATAGTTACCTAAACTACAGCAGTAAGCATCTTTTCCCCCTTTTTTGCCTTCTTTGGGTATGCTTTACTTGAAAATTTTTAGTTTGAGCAAGCCTTTAATTTTGGTCTTAGCAGTCAATTATTTTAACTAACCAACTCTATATAACATTTATGAAGCCTTATTAGATTGTAAATAATTTTTAGATGCAAACATTATTGTAAGATTTAAACAAACAGCCTTTCTTTACAACAAAAAATAGTTTTGTTTTGTCTATTGTAAATCCTTATGCAACTGGGATGGTGATCCGCATATAAAGTAGTCCAGCTTTTCAATTCCTTATTAAAGCAAGTGATGGCGTCTGAAAGAAGCACACTGTTTCCTTTTCATAAATAGGTTACTGCACATAATAATCCTTTATTATCATGTGGAGATTGAAGTGGATCCTGATAACTTATTTTAAAGCTTTAAAATGACAAATAGTGCTTTACCACTATTAACAATCCATGCTACAGGCTTTCAATTAGAAATTACTTAAATCCAAATCATTTGGATTAATAATTAATGGTGCAAAATGGACTTTTTAAACAATGGAAGATAATTGTGTCCATATATAAAAGTAAAGGATACTATGGAAAACAAGGTTTTAACAAACTGAAATCCCGGAATATCTACAGTGACTGACTTATATGTTCACTATTTACTTAAAAGTCAATATTGCCATTTACATCCATTAACTCACAATTGAAAATGGAGGTCAAAGTGATTTACACATGTGTTAATACAGAAATTTTAAATTTCCTACAAAAGGAGCTAGAGTACTGATTTGTTGGATATGGAGATAACTCCTGGAAACCACCTCATCTTTGAGTGACATATATAATATCGGAGGCTTAAAATTTGTTTTTATTTGGTATAATGCTCAATGCCTAATACAGAGGCAGATATTTGGGGAAGTCATGAAGGCAAATCAGCATACATCATATTAAAGATAGTTTCGAGCTTTAACTGTGACAATATGTTAATGACATGATTCTACTTCAGTGTTTGTTCTTATTTTCCTGAAAGTAAAACATCCATGTTAATAACAAAATTAGTTCATTAATCTTAATGAAATATACTTTACTTCTCATTCATTTTCATGATTTTTAAAGAGGCCTCCTGGAAGAACTCAAATCCATAATCTCTTTAGCTCATTAATTAGTATTTGCTTCAATATTTTCATGCTTCTAGATTTTTTTCATTATTTACATTGAGTTTTATAATTAAGTCTTTCAGGTATGATCTAAATGGTTTCATTTAAAAATATAATAGCACATTTTGTGTTTTAATCTTTACTATCAAATGCAAGCATAAGCCCTTCAAGTTTTATTGATTTATTGGCATTTCCACAGGTTATATTTTGATTTTCCTTACAGTATTAAGCACTTCAAACCTATTTTATGTTAGGATTTTTATTTTTAACTCCTCCAGCTGGATTTTTAAAAAAATTTCCCTTACTGTTTCCAGGCAGATTATAATGAGTATGAGCCTAGCAAAAATGATTCCAGACAAGGTAGTGACATTGCTACGATCTGCTTGGAATAGAAATAGATGTCTGGCCCTACAAATGTCAAATAGCAATTACTCTAGATTTTAGTACTTAATTAGTTGCTTTCATGACTTCTGCATATACCACCAGTGAGTAAATTGTACAAAAGTCTCAAAAATACTATTCCTCAGCCTTGAAACCATTGCCAAGGGTGTTTGGTTTGGACTTAGGCCAACCTGTGTGCCTTCTTTCCTCAGGCATTTGGTGAGTAAGAAAAAGACTCTTCAATATCCTCTTTGTCCTCTGACTTATAAGGTGACTTAATTTTTCTAAATAATTCCGTATCATAAAGGGCTCAATATTTTACAGATTTTTAAAATATACAAAATAAATCAGAGGGAGATTCTGCCATTTCTCAAACCCTGAAAATCCTTTTATGATATTACACATTCCAGAAGCATACTAGATTGAATGCTAGAGTGAACAACGCCTTCCAAATGGTTCTCTTACTCAATTTGTTTCTTCATTCATTCATTCATTCATTCATTCATTCAGGCACTCATTCAATACATCTGGAGTGTTTTCTTCCCTGATGCCTGGATCTGCTGTGTGCTGAGGAGCCACAAATATATATTAGACAGGCTCTCTAAATGCCTCACTCCAAGCTTTCACCCCTGCTCCCACTGTTACTAAATCCCTTTCTCCCCACAGATCTCCCAAAGTTGGCAAAGAGCTTAGTACACAATAAAAGAGAGTTTTACCTTAATGCAAATTACTCCCAGGTAAGTAGTGGGGACAGCAATAGAATGCAGAAGGTTTAATTTTTAAATTCTCTGGAATAAAATGTCAAATAGATAAATAATAAGTAGACTGGTTACAATGTAAGTGCTATTAACACATCTTTGCAATTATGTACTTAAAAGGAGAAAGATACCACTAAAATAAAATAAATCACAGCAGATTGAGAGAGACCCAACGTTATGGCCTGATGATAGCTATATATTTGCGCTATCTACATCTACTTTGTAAAGTTGAATACCAAAATTGTAAATATAAAAATAGCTGATGTACTTCAATTTTATGGAATATTTATGTTTTAGAGACAATGTTTACTTTCTATCTTAGTGGCTTAAAGGGTAATCTTTCAACTCACATGCCTTTTAGCAACACAAGAAGAGACTTAATTATGTAAGAGAGATTGAAGTACTTTGTGAGGGTCTACTTTGCTCCTCAAAACAGTGGTGGGAAAAGTAGTGTAAATTGAAGTTTTATAAATCAAATTGTATTTTAAGTGCATTAAGGGAGCTGCCATTTAAATAAAACTTGGGAATCCCTTTATGAGGCAGAAAATCATTTTATATTGCAAACAACCACTCTGTTTTGTATGTTTGGATTTTCAATATCAATTTTGCTTAAAACCAAGCTCACATGCATAATAAGAGTATGTTTTGTCAGTGTTGCTTGTGCTGTCTTATTTTTTTGGTTGCTAAGGGCTTATACTTGAAAGTGTTGCAGTTTAATGTGAATTGAGCTATCTACACTTTTATGATGGCACAATGGCATTCCTGAACGTCTGGACTAGCAAGACTATTTCAATTCAATTGAACACAGGACTCTTGCTCAGCAGCAACTTCCCTCCCAAAACCTTGTTTCTGTAGAGGGTAGCCTGACTCCTGTATTCATGTTTTATGAAGTGCTTAGAGATACAGGATTTATAAAAAAAATATGTTACTATGTAAACATACTGAATTGCATGTGTGTTGGAAATTTCTAGCAGTATTTTAGCTTGACAGTATATGTACAAATTCTGTTAGACTTAGTTGCAAATAATTGTCTTCATGTTATTGGAATAAATGGCAAATGATACAATTTATTATGTAAATAGATTCTTGTGCCAAATAGTGACAATGTTTAAGAAAACAAATGACATATTTTGGACTGTCAATAGACAAAATAAATTACTGAAAATGTGATCAAGTGATATTGTATTTTATTGGATAAACTGTTTAGTTATTTTATGCTGTAGTTAGCTTTCAGTTAATAAATAAATATTCACTAAAACACACATTTTGGATTAGTTAGAAAAGTTTTTGGAGCCTTTTTTCTTTCTTTCTTTCTTTCTTTCTTTCTTTCTTTATTTATTTTTGAGACAGGGTCCTGGTTGTACTGGAACTTGCTATATAGACCTGATTGGGCTCAAATTCAGAGATTTGTCTGCCTATTCCTCCTGTGTGCTGGAAGTAAAAGCCTGCACAATGATGCCCAGCCATAGTTTTTGAAATCTTGAGAAGAATTAATGACAAATGTGAGAGCTGTCCTCTTTGCCTTGGTATATGCTGTTCTAGTGTTGAGAAATGAACATTTTTATTCTTTAAATGATATGTTTTTCATGTTTGCTATAAAAATAAGCTTTAAAAATATTAATATTTCTCCATGAGTATTTGTTAATATT